TTCATATTGTATCTCCTCATTAGCACATGTTAACTGGTCCCCATCTCTGTCTCTAGATGGACTTTTTCATCTCTGTCTTTCCATGTTTCCAGATAAAATTAAAACCTCTTCAGTTTTATCAGGCTTTTGGTGACTTTCAGCACTTCATTACTATGTTGGATAATTTTGGTCAACTTGACCCAAGCCAGGGTATCTGAGGATGGGAAACTTCAATTGAAAAGTGACTTTATCAGATTAGCTTATAGGCATGGCTGTAGGCCATTTCTTGATTATGACTGATGTGGAAGAGCCAATCCATGGAGTTTGCAAGCAGGCTGAACAAACCATGGAGTCAGTGAGCTGTATTCTATGGTTTCAGCTTCAGTTCTTGCCTCCAGGTTCCTTCTCTGCTCTTTCCCAGGTTGTTTATCACAGCAATAGAAATCAAACTAAGACATTTGCTTTCATTGTTCAAAAATTCTATTTCTTCTGTACACTTACATTGGTGTAATTTCTCCTCTTTATCTCTGCTTATTCTCAATAGCTAATTTGTGTTCTCTACTTCTAACGACATTTCTTAACTGTGTTCTCAGTGAGCCTACTTCCATGGTTGACAGTTACTACAGTTGGGATGGAGCTCCTTTCTGAACAACACTCTTTGCACTCTTTCATACCCACCACTAAAGCCAAAACCCTCATAGTAAAATTCACTGGGTCTTAGTGCTGGGATTCAAGTGGCCTTTCATTCTCTGCCCTAGCCCTCTGCCTTAGCCTGATGTTTCTGCATACTGTATGTATTTTTATTGTTGTTAAACAAAGAACACAGGTAGAATAATACACAAATGAGCACACTCACATTCTTCTTGGACTCCTTCATGAAGACACACCATCAAAAGTCAGGAAATTCACCTTCTTTTTGTAAAATTTTGTTTCTTGATTTGCTAGTGTATCTTTCAAGTTCGTGTATGCATTGCCATTGTGTGTACAGTGCAGGTTCTGTGATGTTTGCCCTGTAAAGAACAAAGTAAATAAAATGTGAGGGAAACTGATTACTAATTAAGATAAGAAAGGACTTCTGGAGTTGGGTCCATTTGAATGCCTGCCAGAATCTCCTTTTGGTAAGAGAAAAATATGGATGGAATTTTTCTTATTAATATTTGGTTTTAAAATATAGCCAGAGTTTTAGGGGATGAGCATATTTGAAAATCTGCAAATGAATTTTACCATATGACTAGCACATTCTCCACTACCATGAAAGACGGGATTGTTATTAATAGTGGTTTTTGAGTTAGAGGCTTTCTTTGGAATTTACTCAGGAAAGCAATTTGCCTTAGAGTGGGATGTATTAGGTGGAAGTGCTGTTTTACATTTACTTTCCTGATGGGAATATTTAACTACGTTCTCTCTACAGTCATCCCCAGACCTCAGTATTTACTACTGACATACAAACCTTTATGTGAAAATTTGTGTTCTGGGGTTTCTCTAAACCCGTAGGCAGAGAAAATCTTTTAAGAGTGTGATGATATTTAACTGTGAATGTAGCACCTGTGTGTAATGAGAGTCATGTAAAGCAAGTATTTCACCTTTGTCCTAGAAAAGGCTTTATGGTTATTTAATTTATTTTGAGGAAATCTTGAAATATTGTATAATATAATATACTTAGCCCTCACAGCATGCTGTGAATTCCTACTCACTGTCTTGCGATTCCAATTTGGAAAGGTCCACACATTTCATAATTAGTTGAGATTTTCATCAAATGGATTCTCAACTTAACATAATGCTATTAGATACATATGTTTTATGTTTTGTATCTATCAAGCGAATGACATATTTGTCATCTATGGGAAAAACAGATTGAATCTGTTTAAGTATAATTTAAGTTTTTCTTTTATGTGTTGAGGTATGTGGCATGTATGACTCATTCCTGTGTGTGTGTGTGTGTGTGTGTGTGTGTGTGTGTGTGTGTATGTATGACTCATTCCTGTGTGTGTGTGTGTATGTGTGTGTGTGCTTATGTGTGAGTGTGTGTGTGCTTGTGTGTGTGTGTGTATGTGTGTGTGCGCGCACCAGCCACAAAATGTGTATGGTGGAGATCAGAGTACAACTTTCAGGAGTCAGTTTCTTCTTTCTGACATGTGTGTCCTGGTAATTGACTCAGGTTGTCAGGCTTGGCTGAAGCTCCTTTACCACTGAGCCATATCCATGACCCCTGAGTGATTTTTGTATAGTAGGAAAGTAGCCCTTTGTTAATCATCCAGATCAAGAACTTAAAATGTCAGCTTACTTTTAGTGTCCAGTTGTAAATCCAAGGTTGGAATTATATATTTGTTTATTTTTGATTGTCTAGGTTTTTTGGAGAAATCATAGACTTGGCTAGTCTCAAACTTGCTACGTAGCCCAGTCTAGACTGGAACTCATAGACAGTCTTCTTGGTCCTGCTTTCCAAGTGCTGTTATTTTAAGTGTGCACCACTACACAGAGCTTAGACCCATTTAATCCTCTGTGTTTTAATGAGATTAGTATATTATCAGGTATATATGACTTAAACAACTACCAGAAGACAGACACAGCTATATTCCTGCAGCACCTTATATACCTAGCAAGAATGGCCAGAGTGTACACAGTGATTGTCAGATAGACTGTTCCCTGTGTTTTCCCTTAAATATTGATGAGTATTGAAGAATTCCTTATAGTTTACAATAACCTAAAAAATATCTTCTCTAGGACTCCTTATGCCCATGGGAAACAGGCAGTTATGGGTTCATGTAAAGCTCCTGGCACAGAAGAAAACGAGGATCGTAAGGCAGTGCTGAGTTGGATCTCACAGTCTTGACTAAGGAGGCCAGCTTCTTCTTGTCTCTGACACCTGTGGCCAGAATGAACTAGAGCTTTGCCAAATGTAGAGCCACCAGTTTGTGTACCTTTCTCAGATGTGTTTACTTATTGTATGAATGTTTTCCTGAGAGTCTGTATGTGCACCATATGTGTGCTCAGTGCCCAAGGAGGTTAGAGAGAAGCACTGGGTTCCCCGGAATGATGATCATGAATTCATACAGAAGAGGTAAAAAGAATAGTCATCAAAGAAATCTCCATGATCTTGCTCCTCAGTGTTGATGCAGCTTCTTTTTAGTAATTGAAATATCTAAACCCTGAAATGCTCCAAACTCTAATATAGTTGAAATACTGACATATTACCAGAGGAGATGATACCACACTTTTTCTTGCATGGTAGATTGTAATAAAAAGTATGAATGTGTAGTTTAAACACATTTTAGTATTACTTTCAGGCTGCCTAATGAAGGTATCAAACACAAATAAATTTAATATTGAGAAATAGCTCTCATACCCAAGGCCTATTTATATATCTACATATTTTTAGCATTCAAAATGAAAATTTAAGTGAGTGTTTGTTTGAACCTCACCTAAATGCAATCAGTCTGAGTGAGTAGAATATAACCAGAGAGACCTGGTTTTTGACACCAACAGTGTTCTACGTACTATTAGAGGGTGATTCCACATCAATCAATTTAGGTTTTTCATAAACTGATAGGGATTGTCCTGATGGGTCAGAAGACAGCAACCCTGGTTAAATACTTCTGTACACAGCAGAAGTGGCAAACAGGAAACATGCTCAGCTGTATCATGTTCTCTGTATAGGCGTATACTTAAAAAACACTCCACTCTCCAGTTCTTTGTTGTTATAGTTTTCTCAGTCTTCAGCCCAGAGAGGTTCCTTCTTTTAACAATACATTGATTAGTATAATGATTCTTTATTTCACCAATCTAAGCCAATGTGTTTTTGAATATTTGATGTAAGCTGCTATGGTCAAATGAAGAAGGAACAGTGGGGTCAGCAGTGACAGGGACCTGCAGTGTTCATTGAGGGCCAACAGGCTCTTATATGCTGCAACAAAAGGCTGGGCTGATGGAGCAGTCTTGAAGACTTCACGCAGCAATGATGAAACATACTTACGAGGGATGCCACAATCCTAGGTACATTTGTCTCCTCCTCCTCCTCCTCCTCTTCCTCCTCCTCCTCCTCCTCTTCCTCCTCCTCCTCCTTCTAATTTCTTCTTCTTCTTCTTCTTCTTCTTCTTCTTCTTCTTCTTCCTCTTCCTCTTCCTCTTCCTCTTCCTCTTCCTCTTCCTCTTCCTCTTATTTCTTCTTCTTTCTCTTCCTCTTCCTCTTCCTCCTCCTCCTCCTCCTCCTCCTCCTCCTCCTCCTCCTCTTCTTCTTCTTCTTCTTCTTCTTCTGGCTTCAGGCATTAAGATCATAAGGAAACAAGCAAATGTGTGTATAAGGAGATCAGAGTGCCTACACAAAGAGGCAGTGCATTGAAATTCCATTCCTCAAACACTCATTCAAGTATTGAATTACTTCTTGTATCTTCATTCCGAAAACCAGGCTACAACATCTAAGTGCTCAGGCCATTTGACATTCATATGCTGAGCCTGATGCTCACCAATATCTTCAAATTACTAGTATATACCAGGAATGATGACATGTTTCTTAAAGTAATAGTGTACTCATATGATAAGTGAATTTTATATGCATCAAAGCTGGTTAGCACTCTAATATGACATGACTCACATTACAGCAAGTACATAGGCTTAATGTCTTTAACCTCAATTTATTCTTAACAGTACTTTCATGAACCCACAGGCACTGAAAAGAACACTCATCAGTTTGATACACATGCATATGCACACACACACACACACTCACATACTCACACTTTTTATTCATTAAAGGAAGAGACATTTTAAAGTGTTTAGTAGCAACTGATTGAATTCTTTTTGCCTTCCTTATCATTGCTCCTTATCACTCAGTAGTTAAATAGAGTATAGACATATATGATACTCATGATTTGATGCTCAGAATTGTACTTTTATGTTTGTGCAAAGTGTCACTGTATTTCTCTGTGTGTCATCCTCTCAAAAGAGAAAGCATGTCCGTGGTTCACATAGATTCAGTTTTCTCTTTTGTTGTGTTAATAACTCTCTTTTGCTTGTTTTGGAAAGGAATTGAATTAGAAATTGTCAATATCTGTGAGGAGAACAATGGCGGTTGTTCTCATCACTGCGAGCCTGCAATTGGTGGAGCCCATTGTTCCTGTAACCACGGACATCAGCTCAATACAGATGGAAAAACATGCATAGGTAATGTTTGGCAAGTGCCATCTTCATGCAAAGTTTCTCTGGACTCATTTAGCACTTCCATACTAAAACGCATTGCTACATCATGAGCCACATCCCTCAGACTGCGAGGTGCTTTTAACTGTGACTCTGATTACTGATACATAGCAAAGGCAAACAAATGCTTAGATATTTACCTTGAAATTAAGGAGATTAAAACACTTTTAATGAGATATATGGGACTATTAACTTTATGTAAATAAAAATCATTATTTCATTTCAGAAAAAAACATTCTAAGATCTATCTCAACTATTAAATTTGTATGCCAACACTAGACACAATTGTGGGATCCATGTCTTCCTACCTCAAGCAGAAATGAAATCATGTCCATTGTTTTTCAGTTTGGTAATGATTTGGAAGAATACTCAGTTGAGCAATGGTAACTTTTACTAAAAAAAAAAAAAAAAAAAAAAAAGTGTAAAAGATAATCACCTTGGACATGATTCAGCATGGCAAAACTCACGAATTTTTGTTTAATTATGTGTATTTCTGTGTTTATGCATGGGCATGTGTCCATGTGAGTGCAGGTGTCTAGTAAGTCCAGAAGAGAAAATTAGATCCCCTGTAACTAGAGTTTCTAGTGATTGTAAGCTGCCTGATACAGGTGCCATGAAGAGAACTTGGTTCTACCACAACTTGGTTCTACATGTTCTTAACCCTAGCCACCATAATAGTTATCATGTATATCATTTGCAACAGTGAGAAGGGCGGTCCTAATTTGGCCTTCCCTCGTTAAAGCATGCTGCATGGAGATCTTCCCATGATTCCCTGCTAAGCAGTGAGGGAGGAGTACTGCCATGTTCTGCCTCTGAAACACTCTCTTAAATAGTGATGCCTCTTCATCTTGGAGCAGAAATACTGTATTCATTGATTTTATTTAGTGATGCCATGGGCTTCCTCTCTCTAAAGTAATAATACGAATACAAAAGAACTCCTTTTTCACTGCACACCATCCAACATGATGGGAGACAGTTTCAAGCACTAAGAGAGGTGACTTAATCACCAAGTACCACTATTTTGTTTTGTGCTTCAGTATTATAAGAGAGTGAATCACATGGAAGATATAGTATTCTGCTCTCACAAAACTTGTTAAACCTAAACAATATCATTGCATGTGTTTCTTGATCCAATAATGCCTTTATACTGCTATTTGTCTATGGGGTCCAACATATCAGAACCAATTGCTTTCCTTGGGTCTCTTGCAATGAAAAAATATGCCACATTTTCTGTCTTATTAATACTTAAATTTATGAAAAAAATTGTTTTCCTCTCTTCCTCACTTTCTTTTTCCTTCCTCTCTCTTTTCCTTCTTTCCTTCCTTTTTACCTTCTCATTTTGTTCTTCATATGAGTACTGAATAGAGAAAACTGGAAATATTTATTTATTTATTTATTTATTCATTCATTCATTCAATCAATTAGCTCTTTGGTTGGCTTTTGGGGGAGGGCAGGGAGACAGAATTTCTCTGTGTAGCCCTGGCTGTCCTGGAATTCTCTATATAGACCAGGCTGGCATTGAACTCAGATATCTGTCTGCCTCTAACTCACAAGTGCTGGGATTAAAGTCATGAGGAACTACCATATGGTTGCATGGTTCTCTTTCTTTCTCTCTCTCTCTCTCTCTCTCTCTCTCTCTCTCTCTCTCTCTCTCT